TTATTTTGTTTTTCTTGTTTGAAAGCCCTCACGGTGATATTTTTTTCTTTTGATTTGCTAAAGTTGTAAATTTAATGACCAGTAACTGTATTCTGAAACTGTTTAATTTTTAAAATACAATGTTGGCAGATATCTGCTTGTTAATTTTCAAATAAATTAAAATTTCTAAAAAAATCAGTCAATAAAAAATGTACTAACATAACAAAGCTATAATATAACCAGTAATCCGTGCTAGAAATTAGAGACGACTACTTCCGTCGCCTAGACCTAACCCTACTTTTTCATCTCTCGGCATTGATTGTATTCATATTAAGCTGCTCTTTTTGCCTCTTGAAAAGTGCATGACATAATACATTCCGCTGAGCGAAGTTCTGTTCTTTTCAATGAACTACCATATCGATATTATCTCATTCCTTTTTGTTAGGATTCCGGAAAACTGCAGGGACATCGACTTTCTAACGCTCTTTTCAACAGTCTGATGGCTCAAAAATCAATGACGACTGGGTCTGCATCCGCCTCATTCTTCAACAAACCAAGGCCTTGCTAGAAAGTGTGACTTAATGCGTTCCCATAGTTCTATTTCGTTGTTTTCACCCCTAAGTTTTATTGATGATCTTGTTTACTTGTAAAAGTTCATCTCAACGAACATTGGCAAATTTGCCGATATCTTAGTTCTTTTTACTCCTTTAAGCTGTCATAGTAATTAACCACTTTTTATGCTGATAAATATATGACCTCTGACCTTTCGTTTTGTAGCAATTTAAGGTGAAAAAACTACTCTTGCCAAAGAAGCAAGTAATAATAATTGAGAATATTTTCTTATTCAAACATAATTTACAAATGACGATTATTAACATGCTAAAAACAACAATAATTCCTCATGAGTAAAATTCAGAATTTGCTTTAAAAAAAGCATTTTCCAAATGAGAAAACCTATCTATGACAAGACTCCAATGAAGGTCTCAGAATGCAAACACCTTCGAGTGTACAGTATATGTTATTGATTGTTAGTAGCATTCACCTCCCTGGGTGGTTAATGTTTGGACTACCGGCTTAGCAGATCTGATGACCTTTTGAATTATAAACACTTCAGACATCTGTGTGGAGTGTGGATATTGTACCTCGTTTTTAAACTAAAACAGAAAAGCCAAAACTTAGCGTTGAAGAGCTAAATATTAAATATGACGACATAGAATGAAGAATATCAAGTTTTCATGATAAAGTAATCTCAGTCATTTCGCGTCATATAAATAGCCGATGAACCCCGAAATGTAAAACACAGAGCTAGTAATACCTGCAAGAAACGAAACAGAAAGAAAGCTTACAAAGAATAAATTCTACTGTTTCTTTCCTTGTCACAACCTTTGCAGTACTTGCTGCATGTGCTTAATCATCCCTTAGTAACTGTTTGGTTTTATAGGCTGTATTGCTTGTATGTCACTAAAGCTTTGGCATAATAACAAAGATTTTGCATAATACTCAAGACATACCAGCCAACTAGATCCCTAGCGGATTTCCCTTGTAATTAGCCAGACGTTATTATTTGTCTAAAGTGAAATACCAGTAAGTAAAAAGTTAAACTTATTCGAATCTGAGATCCCCATAATTGGCTGGATCCTTTACGGATTATGAAATGTTAGTCGCTAGAGGATTTCATCTGACCAAGAATAATCTTCTGTATGTAAAATTTAGTTTTGTGTAAGAAAAGAAAAGATGATGTCATATGAATCAAGGAAGTTAGTAAACATTTGAGTTCCGTATCTATTCGACAAAATATCAGCTTCCAATGTTTCGCCTTTATATAGTAAAGTATAAAAGCATTTTACCGCTTTGTCTGGAACGTTGAATAAAGAACAAACATACATTTATTGTGACAACGAGAATAAGTAAACTTCAGAAAAAAACAACAACAACATTTAAAAGGCTTTTGAGGAATTAAAACGCATTTTCACATTAGTCACTGTAATGTATGTACATATGTAACCTGGTTATAACTTAAAGGCTTACCATAAATTGCATAAAAGCTAAAAATAAATTATGTTACTTTAAATGATAACCAAGAACTATACCTTTTACAAAGATAAATTAAAAGTCGTCTCAACAGCAGATTAAACAAGGTTGTCTACAGATTGACGTTATCGAATAATTTATGTTTGACAGATTCTACCAAACTTCCACTGCGCATTGTTTTTTTCTGTAATAATTGTTTACATTACACATTTACATGTATTTCCTTCAGCTCTGACATTCATTCCCGAACTATGTTGGAATATTCCAAAGAAGTAACAAGCTTTTTGTTCAAAGTTTGTGCAATGCATAAAAGAACAACTCATATTTATAGTAAGGTCAAAATTATTTTTTAAAAAGGCAGTAATAAATCATTGTTGTTGTTTTTTTAACACATTGACTTAAAGTATGTACACAGGTGACATACGAATATCAAGAAACGATGTGTTCAAATGTTTCATTTGGAGTTAGTTAAGATGTTGGATATAAAACACACAACTTGTAAAATGCAAAGGCAGATTAGTACTTGTAGAAATAATATTTCTGGTTTACAGTCAAGGAATATTGACATCCACAGAAGAGAGTCTATCTGGTCTCCAAGACAAGTGTTTCTAAGGTTTATTTTCAAATAATAGGCCTTTAAAATAATATTATAAAGGTCATGCTGGTGTGCGACATTTGAAAATTACAAATGCGCATGTTCAATAATCAATACAAGGTTAGAAACTCGTCAGTAGTCGAGTTATACGGAACTATCCCATAATACAATAACTTACACACTACTGATATAGAAATTAAACAAATCCAATTAAATATCATATAAAAATACAAGCAGTTTAATATTCTAACACTTTAAAATACTTTATAGTGTGGTTTTTAAAGCATGTTACTATACAGCACATTTTAAAATTCGGTTGTGTAACACTTATGTAGATATATATCATCATTGTGGTTTAAACAATTTTCCAAACTGTTCAAATTATATATGTGTATATAAGTCTTTGGACATTGCTAAAGTACAAATGCTAAACTTAACGATAATTAAACAAATAAAACACAAAACAGTAATCATGAGGAGAAACTACAGCAAGAAAACCCAACAACAAAAATAAAAAAAACGAAATCAGTAAAACGAACATATTATACATTTTAAATATGTTCGTATTACTGATTTTTTATTTTTTGTAGTTGTGTTTTCTTGCTGTAGTTTCTCCATATGTGTATATATTTCTTATTTATTTCAAACAATCCTGAAATACATGCGATGCCTCGTTGCAACATAAAACACACTTTTATTCTCGTCAGTTTTAAAGCACGCCAAATAATCGTAACACGCTTCATACATATTTAAGCTCAAAATATAGAAAAATATTTTATTGTTTGTTTCGGATATTGTCGTAAAGATATATGTAAGATAGCTGCGTTAGCTTTCTCAATTATGTTTTTGTTTTGTTTTGGAATTTATGCACAAAGCTACACAATGGGCTATCTGTGCTCTGCCCACCACGGGTATCGAAGCCCGGTTTCTAGCGTTGTAAGTACGCAGACATACCGCTGTGCCACTGGGAGGGCTTCCTCAATTAAAGGGAAGGCAGTTAGTTAACACCACCCAACGAAAACTCTTTGGCTTTAACCGTCACTCTTATAACACACCCACAGCCTCAAAGTGCAGGGAATGATTTTGAGACAACGGGACACAAACATTAAACTCTCGATCTACATCCGGCATGTTAAACGCTAGGCCACACAGCGCCCAAAAATATTTCGCATGTCATTGAATAAATGTAAATGTCACAAGCGAATTATTTCCTTTATCAATTTATTATTTATTATTAATATTATTTATTAGTAATATTATTTATTAGTAATATTATTTATTATTAATATTATTTATTAGTAACATTATTTATTATTAATTAATTAATTTATTAATATTATTTATTAATATTGCACACAAATTATGCGAAACTAGACATTCAGGTGTTGGATTCTCCTCGGTGGACACAGCAGATAGCCTGATATGGCTTTGCTATAAAACACACACATAAATATTCATCCAGACACTTTATTTTAACAAAAAATTTTATGAAAATATTCAATGGAGGTTTTATTATTAAGGAATTATAAAAACAAATTTCATTCAAATTTGATCAATGCGTTTAAAGCCTAATGAATATTAAAGTGAAAAAAAAGAAATAATGAGTTCCACGATGTTTATTACGTGTGTGGAATAACAACCACTGTTAATTCTTGGAATTACATGATCTAAAACAGGGATTTTTAAAACGCATTTTAACCCAAATTTTCTCATACTCTGAAGAGGTTGAATTAAGTATCACTGAATTTTTGTTTTCACGCGCTATCCTTCAAGTCATAATGTGGTTGTCCCTGGTGGTTAAGCGGTAATTCGGATGGTTCATAACGAAATAAATGGGGTTTCTATACCCGCGGTGGACAGAGTACAGATAAAAGACTAGATGGAAGGCCGATAATCATTACCATTCACCAATTCCTGGGCTAATGTTTTACCAACGAATAGTGGAATTGACTGTCATATTATAACACCCCCCACGGATGAACGGGCGAGCATGTTCGGCGATAGGGACTCGAACCCGCGACCTATGAATTGCAAGTCGAGCGCCCTTACTACCAGGCTATGCCAAGCCCTCGAGTAGATTTGTGCAAAATTCATCAAACAGCCACACCCTAAGCATCAAGACAAAAAATTTGTTTTCAGCAAGCAAACATATTCTGAAATAAGGTAATTTTTAGTGTTATCATACGTCCACTTTTTCATAAATTCAAACAAAAGAATAAACTTTTATCACAAGGTGTATATTTTGAGGACCTTAGTCCTCCCCCAACTTCAATATTTATTTCACAATTATACTAGAATGTAAGATGTCCTCATAATATATCAAATTTACTGTATGTGACTATATGTAGTTATGATATAATTCTGATAGATATTATACAGAATCTGCTGTACATACCTGTGCGTACGCACCATACGCACCGAACTGGTTAAACACAAAAGGGTTAATGAGTCCCATGTTTCCTGCCATTTGCTGCATCCGTCTCAACTGACGTTCTTTTTCCGTGTCTGCGAATTTTACAACCAGGCTGGATGATGCACCCTACAGAAGTATAAAGGAGAATTTTTTTAAAAACACGCATGAAAAATTTATTCTGAAAGTTATTTATCAATTAAAATGTTCTCTTGTAGGAAATGATGGCTAAATACACACGAAGTCACGAATATCGTGTTTATTCCATCTCTAGCTTTTATGTTGTTTTCTTGCTTTCTTCTTGGGATATTGTCACATTCAAAATAATTCAAAGTAAAAATATGATTTCTATTTACGAAATGTGAAAATATGATCATTTAATTGTATGCATGCAAATAGTCAAATAATAGGTTAAAGCGATGTAACCTGATGTATTTGAGTAAAGCGCACCCATGTATAAATGTTTTCAAATAAGATTAGATAAATACACTGACATCTCTTAGAATTAGATACGATTAGATAAATATTCTGATACCTCTTAGAATCAAATATAATTTGATAAATACACTGACATCTCTTAGAATTAAAAATGATTAGATAAATACGCTGATATATTTTAGAATTAAATATGATTAGATAAATACGCTGATATATTTTAGAATTAAATATGATTAGATAAATACGCTGATATATTTTAGAATTAAATATGATTAGATAAATACGCTGATATATTTTAGAATTAAATATGATTAGATAAATACGCTGATATATTTTAGAATTAAATATGATTCGATATTTACAATAGAATAAGTTGCTATTTTGGAGACAAACAGTCGAATTCTATGGCTATGTGGTGTGTCGAAGGTGGGCTACGGCGGAGGAAGGATCTGATTTAATAATATAGATCTGATGACGTGTAACCTTGGTTCAGCTTTATTAACAAAATGGCCGTGTTTTGAGTTGACAGAGGTGAACGTGCTTTCATAGCGTTTTAAACTTAATCATTAATTTGCTTATAAAACAATGGTCGCGTAGACAGAGTATTGTTATCTGCTAGAAATACTTCGATAGCAAAATAACTGTACGAAAACGTAAGCCTATTGCACTTTATGACTGTGTATATTCACCAAAACTGCAATTGCACGATGTGACTGGTTGCATTGAAATTTACTTTTTACACATTTGTCTTCAATTGAGAGAAATGTTGAAATTTGTATTCTCATATTTGATGACATTGTTAGTGAAAACTAAAATTACATTTCTGATGACATACAGACCAAAGAAGAGACCTATTTAATTGGTTATTACTAACTGTATTAACTAATAACAATTTCTTTTTGATTTGTATTTCTAGGTGCACACGAAATTAATGAAGAATTTTGAAATTACCATTGCCCTTTATCATTTAAATATATATAGCGCACTGTAGAATGAACAACATTGAATGCCAAAAAAAAAGAACAAAAAGAATACATCATAGTCGGTCTTTTTTTTCTTGCTTCATCTGCTCTCATCTCTTACGTCATTCTTTCGACTTAACCTTTCCTGTTGCCTCTTTCTGTCCTGCTCCTACTTAGTTTCACTTATAAATATTGGCATCCTTTCTCTTCTTCGTAGGTCATAATTTGTTATCCTGCAGTTCAGGACCGAGTTCTAAATGTCACATGACAACCATATGTATTACTTGTTATGCAAAAGATTTCAGATTTCGGCTCGAACTATTCCCAGAGGTAAATAAAGCAATGTGGTTCATCAGACTTCTTCTGGAGCTTGCTAGTCATCATGAACGATCAATAATTTGATCTTACGTCAGACAGTATCCCTTTAATATTATAAGAAAGTAATGTTTTGGTTTGTGACTAACAATCTTAGTCCCCTCCTGTAGTACTGAGGTAAGTCTACTGAATTACAACACTAAAAAACCAAAGTTCAATTCCCTGTGGTGGACACAACAAAAAGCCCAATGTGGCTATGTTCTCAAACAATCAAACTAACAATTTTGTGATTTTTTTTAAATTATAAAAAAAGAGTTAAAAAATGAAAAACATTTTATTATGTACTACAGTTAATAAAAATTCTTATAAATTTTTTAAACATAGATTATACATATAAAGGCATGTGTATACTTAGGTGTTTATACGGTATAAAATTTTCTGTCCATGGAACATACATATATATTAAAAACTAAAAAATGTCATTCTGTAATGATCTGGCAAACCTCAAGTAACCAGAAAGTCAGAACTATATATTACTTATACATTAACTTTGTTTGTGAGCTCGAATAACCGATGCGAATTTTTTGAATCATAAACTAACAAGGTATTGTACATTTCCAATTTAATTAATTTTCTTAGTTTTTCATCTTTATTCATTAATATATGTTGGTAAGGGAAAAAAACAATGCTAGTTATATGATTCTTTGAAAAAGTTATTTTTAACTGCATATCAATTTCTATATGTAAGCAATTGTACTGATAGATTCTTCACTAACGAGTTCGTATATAAAATATTGATTCGTGCTCTCGAAGCCTGTTTTTTGTTCGTGTTTGAAAAATGGTTCCTTATTCTAAAAGTCGTATTAGTTAACGAAGCTCACTTTACAAAGAAGACGTTTTGTAAATCGTGCCCATTTTTTAGTTCTGTTGCAATGCCTTCAAGAAGAATATATCCAAAGATCCTGTTACTTGACTCAAGTAATGAGGACAAGTTATGCTAAGATTGCGTGACTATCATGAAGCAAAGAATAATTTCTGAATATCCTGGTGGTAACTCAATGATAATAAATTATCTACATTAAAAGTTATATTTCCAGTCCAATTAACGAATCAGGATATACTACTAACGCACTGCATTTATTACCATTAAATAGCGATAAGGCCCATCGTAACAGAGGAAACACAAAATATAATGGGAAAAAGGAGTTTCAGTCAAGCATGAAAGAGAGTTTAAGGTCCTTAGAAAGTCAGCGAGCTCTAAAGAAGGAGTCCACGTTTGAGCTATAACTCTTTTCCTTTTTGAAAAGCTTTTTTGACAAGCGCTCTGCACGCTTCACGGAATTTACTGAGCTACAAAAGCTATCCAAGTAATTAGGTTGTTGGCTGAAAAACGTAAATAGCGAGCTCGGCCTCTGAGGGTTATCCCTAATGGAAATATTTGATAAAAGTACCACCAGTGCAAATTTAACTGGGCTTAGTTAGATAAGAAAGAAAAAAAAGCTGTCATCAGCTTATCCAAATTAGACAAGGTTTTATACAAATTTTTGAAAAATTAACGTACTGAGAGGAAACGTAACGAGAAAAAGAATTGCCAAGAAACTTGCAACTACCAATAAAAGCGCACTCTGTCATTTGACAATATTAATCGATTTTTTTAAAGTTTGTTTGATAACATGAAACATGTTTTTTTTTTAATTGTTTGGGCAGCGCCGATTTTAACTTATAGACCTAACTTTAAGTTATTAGATAACATGCAAATCGATGAAAATCATTTTATAGATGTTCTATTTACGTACGTAAGTAAAGAGAAAAACGTTTTTTTTCACAGGGCGTTTTTATGAGAGAAATACTTCATTTAGTTTCTGATGGAAAAAATAATAAACCATACAAATGTGCTATACTGTTTGTTTGTAGTTAAACAAACTGCTAAACAATAGGTTATCTGTACTGTGACTACCACGGGTATCCAAGCCCGGTTTTTAGTGGTATAAGCCTTAAGACTTACCGCTGCGCCACTAAGGGGATGAGGTGTGCTATACTGATATGATGAGTTTGTCGTAAACTCATACGTGGTGCTGATTGGCAATTGGAAAAGTACTATGTTTTTTTTTCTTCTCTCTCTCTCTCTTAGCTTTCAGAAAGGTCAACTGCTTAGTTCACTAAAATTTTCAATAACTTTCAGATATACTCACTTAGAGAGCATACCTAGACATCTACATACCTAGACATTTACATACCTAGACATCTACGTTGTGCAGTACTGATTTTATGTGCTGGTTACCCATGACCAAAGACTGTGTCTCACTTGGATGGTTCTGAGGTTTCTCACAGATAGTGCTGTTGGTCCCTCTTGGATGGTTTTGGGGTTTCTCACGGATAGTGCTGTTGGATAACTACTTTTGATCGTGTATCTACTTTCTCTAGCAACATAGCCTTGTTTAAAAATGTCTTGAACCCATGTCTTCCTTACTTACAGTTATGCAGCTAGTGATTCCCAGAATTATTAGGCAGGAGATACTTCAGACGTTGCATAATACCAAACCCAAAGGTCACCAGGTTGTTACATATACATGTGCTAATGTGCAAAAGTATTTTTTTTTCTGGTTGCATTTGTATTGAGATATTGATAAATGGTGAAAATACTGTACTGCCCAGAGAAAAACTAGACAAAATAGGATAAACTCTTGCAGAGAGCAGTTGGCTCTTCATTGCAGATAATATCCCTTGATATTCTAAGTGCTCTTCCAAAGAATGAATGAGGTATTTGTTATGTACTTCTCATTATTGATTACTTCCCCAAATTAGCAAGACTTAGCTATTGGTTTATATTTTAGCACAATCCGTCACTAACATGTTGGCTAAATAATGATTAGAATGATTTGGGGAACCTGAAGAAATCCCCATGACCAAAGGACTAGGTTCAGCAACGAGTTATTTTCTATGTTGTGCAAAATGTTGAGTGTATTGATGAATCACACTTCATCATATGATATACAATCTGATGGTTTGGCACAGTTGGTAATACAGACTATCAAGCAGATGCTTACAAATTCTGTTCATCGTCACTGAACAGACTGGGATGAAAATTACTAAATATTATGATGTCATGTGGTATAACAAAACAGATGTAAACAGTTGCTCACCTAACATGTTCATGTCTAGCCAATATATACTGCTTGGTATGGACATGATGTATGGTCCTCCCCCTAGAGCTAGAGCAGATAGTGTTGCAAGAATATATGAAGTGGTTGAGCTCTGTATTAGTTGATGTAGATGAATCTAAATGTCTGCAGCTATAAAAGGTTGCCATATGACAGGAGAAATGCTATGACAAAGCAGTGAAAGTACAAATACTGAAGCATAATGATTAGTTACTACTTTGATACATGCTTGGTTAGTCTGGTTTTTATCTTG